GACTTAAGAATAATAAATTCTGATCAATCGAATTTAGGACTTAGTAAATATACGAGTGATCATATATTTTGTGAATACTAACCGTTTTATTGATTATAATTGTTCTAGTGCAAGTATATAGAATATCATAGTTAATATTAATGAGTTGAGTATTTAATAAACATTATTAATAATAATTAAAATGAAGTATCGTTAATTATTTTATATTAACTATCATTTTACCTCATCAAATCAACATCTGTATGCGGGATCGCTACAATATAGTTATTTTTTACAACCAATATATCAATTTTCAATATGTTTTTATTATGAATTACAAAGTTTTAATAACACTACTTAATTATATACCTACGAAGAATTTTTATATCTGTGAATTAATCTATTTACAAAATCCGATTGTTTATAAAAAATAATAATTTAAGCAATAGAAGAATTTTTTAAAAACCTACGATTAATATATTTTAAAATTTAAATTACAACAAAATAAAAAAAATTGAAAGAAGACAAATAATTATTTTAAGTGTAAATATTCAATGTGGTTAAAATTTTAACTTTAATTACTAATATAAAAAGCCACATGGGCTTTATGCTAAACTTTTTTTTCCAATAAAAATCGTACAATTTACTTTTTATTAAATGTCCCAAAGTCAAAAATATTATTATAGATATTATATGGGTAAATGTATAGTTTATAAAAATTAACGCAAAAATAACAAATTAATTTTTTAATTGATATCATGTCTAGAAAATGTTGTTAAAAATATTTCGCAATAACACTTTCAAAGAAAATTGAAGCACTTTTTTCTTCCATAAAGTCTCAATAAAAAAACACATATCGTTGTGTAAAACCCTTATTTTCATCACTCAGAATCTAAAAATACATAGTGAATAATGTTATCCAATATGTATGATAATAATAATATAGACCAACTCTTCACCTAAAATAATTAAGTACTATAGTATTTACTTTTTTGGTAAGCGAATTTAACAAAAATATAATATATCAGGCGTAGGTATATTTTTTTTTTTTGTTGTGTTCAAACAGAATTACATTTTTAATAAAAATCCATCAACATTAATCAAAGTTATATATGCATATATGTAATATTGTAACTTAAACATTATTTGTATTCTGAGTAATTAAAATATTTGTAGATGATTGAAATAGCTAAATTGTGTATATTCATGGTGATTTAAGCGTTACCTATTTTTGAGTGATTTTTCGTGCGGAAAAAATAGTATTATTCTCCCAGCATTATAGAGCAAATGCAAAGTTGAAGCATCTGAACCAGAAGAGATTCAATAACCAATCATTTTTATATGGTTTTATTAAATTGCAATTTTTTCAAGTATAGATTTAACATTTAATTACAATAATTATATATTATAAAATTATTCATTGCACACTATACACATTTTTCACATCCGTCAAAAACAATGATGCCTCTCATAGTTGTTATTAACTATAATACTTCTATAAGTCGTTTTTAACATAATCAAGGGTGGTACAAATTGTAACTCACCTCAAAATATCACAATAGTCCTCCCACCGGCGAGGTGAACACACACACATTAAGACAATAATAATTTTATTAAATTATAGATTTATAGTTTATGAACTCTTTATCTTATTTTCATATCATAAACAAAAAAGTAAAATTTAACTGAATAAAAGGACATTTATAAATTTGTAATATAGATTTTTTTTTATTTGCAAATCATTCTATGATTTCTTGGACTTAAAATGACAGTATATACTATATATTGTCTATCTATATAAGTAAAAGGCAATGTTTGTTTGTGCGTAAGCCATCCAAAGCCAAGTCTGCTCCTCGAGCTATGCATTTTGAAGCCAATTTTTTTTAAGAGGAGCTCAACAGGGATTTGTTGGCTCACGAAAAACAAATATGTATATTTTGTTTGTTTATTTGTTTGAGGTTGCCATTGATTACAGAAAAAAAAATAGTTATTATAATTGGAGATTATTTTAGACTTGTATTTTATATTTGGTCAATACCACCGAAATGATTGTGTCAATAACATGTTACGTTTACATTAAACATTTAGTGGAGTTTAACTGTTTAAGGCAGGGTAAATCCACTAGCCTATTACTAATTTGTCACAGGCAACTTCCTACAGGATCAGCTTATAATGAACACCTATTTATACAATGTAAAACCAAAAGCCAATAGATTCAGCAAGAAACGTAGTGTCCACAGGCTACTTTTTAGTTTTTTATTACCTACCTGTCCTACCTATTTACTTTTTACTTTTCAACATATACGTGTTGAGTTTAGTTGACTCAAGAAAAACTATAATTTTTTTATTTAAATACTTTTGTCATTGGTTACAGAAGATAAAATAATTGTTATGATTAGATTAATTTTAGATTCTGAGCGGAACGAGAAAGCTAGTGGTTTTACAATGGTGTTTTTTTTTATCCTGTATACAAAATTTCTACCAGAAGGAGTGCTTTGATTTCAACATATAGTATCTTATCGTTTAGAAAATTGGATCAAGATGGTACTTAAAGAGGTCAATTTTTGATTTTCTTAATAGTTATTACTTATTTAATGCCATGGGAAAAACCACCAACAAATTACGAAAGACCTCTAAAAACGGGATTTTAAATTATAACGCTTTGCTTATCACCATAGAAACGAATAAAAAATTAAAAAATAAATAAAAACGATTTTAGTTATTTTGTTGTAATTTATAATAATAATTCAACTTACAGTTTATAATAAATAATAACAATATAAAATATCCAGACTGACAAACCGGTTTTTCGTATACAAATACAATGATATTATATCATTGAATTCAAATTTAATATAATCCATTATACAGTGACCCACTTGTAACCTACTGTACAGCAGAGTGACATTCACTTACCCACTTTTTAGACTTGAATTTTCTATTTGGCCAAAACAACCCAAATAATTGTATAAAAAATCTGTGGTATTAACATTTAACGGTGTTTATGAAGGGCTAAATCCACTGGCCTTATAATTTGTCGCGGTCAACGCAGTGCATTATCAGTTGGTATTTTAATAAAGACCAATCAGTTAGTTTGCATCAAAATGGCATGGTATTTTTATCACTACATTTATAAGGGCCAATAACAAAAAATTATCGTCAAGTATTATTTATGACTATACATCCGCTAAAAATAACTAAGGGGAGTGGGTGTAATATACACCACACTGGTTACCAAAATGTTATTGACATTTACATAATATTATTATTCTATTTTAACTTTTAAGTCGTTACAGTGTTACACTAATGTGTTTTTTTTTATTTTTTACACATGAACTTTTATGCATCTTTATTAACACTATATTAATTATAAATAACAACAATCAAGTCCATACATGTTAATTGGGTCGAGGTATACTTGATATTATTATATACTTAGGGTTGTAAATTCATTATTCACTTAGTTTCTTAACTTAATAATATTATATTAGTTACCTACACATAAACAACCTTTGACTGTAACGTTGAGTCGTTGACGATATTTTGTCAACTAATATGGCTCTGATTACCTAGGTAGTAGGTATATATTTTTTCTCTTCTGTGTGTGTTATTAACGACAGGTCGTTTTTTTCACATTCACTACGCTGTTGGGATGGTGATATCTTTGCAACGTTTGGTTCCGGTGAACTAACTTCGTAGTTTAAACGTCGACTTTACGATGGATTTACGCTCCGTGTACCTATACGTTTATTTCATTTAACATGATTAACTCGGATCTATACTTCCATTTATCCAATAGAACGATTTCATTTCGTATTTATTTTTGTTGTGTTTTCTGGCTGACGCTATACTATTGTTGGAATTTTATATTTCATAAGTGGCCAAGACATAAACATTTAAATAGACGGACTGCGAATTTCTCACCATGAAAATCAACTATCGAGTGAGAGAAAAGGAGCTCTTCTCAAAAAATTATTAGTGCATAAATTCTTTCAATAACTTTTTCACTTCACTATTTTAATATTTAATAAACCTTTAGTAATTGATTATTATTTTTAAAGGAAAAAATTAAATTTTTAATCCATTTGTTCCATATTTCCTTGATACCCTTAGAGTTTAGACCTTAGTATCTATCTGTCTCTTTAACAACGATGAGTGAGGTCACTGGATTTCTCTCTCTCTCTCTCTCTCTCTCATTAAATGCAATCCATTTCTTTATGGTTCTATGGGTCGTAGTAAATGTTAACACATTTCGCTGAAGAGGTATTTGCGAGATTAACTACCACTGGATTGTGTACATTATAAAAGGTACCTATATTCAAGAATTCTAATATAGAAGATTATCTGCGCTGTTTAATAATTCATCTCGTACTCATCCGTTTAATACTTGAGATTATATTTATACTTACATTGTGATAGTTTATAGCTCTTTGAATCAATCAGAAAATCAATATTATGCTCTTGAGTGTATAAATGTATTATCAATAATAATTAAAATAAGGTTAAAAAAATATTTATACGTGAAATCCTTTGTGTTATTGCTGAATGTAATACGTCATTCATTCAATTCGATAAAAAATATGAATGTGTTATGTGTATATAATTGCATTAAATATTAACATAATAAGCTGTAACGTATAATATAAACAAGACAATTACCATTATATGTATACTTAAGTACAGATAAAATATCACGGATGAATGATACATACCTACTTAAATTAATTTAATTTTTAATTTTAATTCGTTACACTGGTCTTTCAAAATATTAATTTTTCAACCGGTTCTTAAGTTGGTTACTGAAATTTATGCTGATGTGAGACAATTGTGTTGTGTTATAGTATTACATAAAAACAAATAACAATTACAGGTGTTTCATGTTTCCTTTAAATTCATATTTACCTACCATATTAATTTAAAAAAAACATGTAACTAAATTATCACTGTATTAATGTGTCAAATAGTATTATGTTTAGAACGTTTAATTTATTTAACGTTATGTACAATTGTGTTTGTTTTAGAGTAAATCATTAAATCCGAGATCAACTATGCGTCAGATGTGGTCACATCCCCCAATATCCGCAGATTTTAAAATTTATTTGTTCAACGTAACTAATCCTGTAGAAGCGGATAAGGGTGAAAAAATCATAGTTAAAGAAGTCGGGCCTTATGTTTATCAGTAAGCATATGCACTTATATTTCACATGAATAGAACCAACACGAACGCATTACAACGTACATTTTGTAATTTAGCGAATGGAAAGAAAAAGAAAATTTAATCGACGATATAGACGCAGACACTGTTGAGTTTAGTTTCAAAAACACTTTTGTGTTTGACGAAATGTCGACGCTACCATTAACCGGAGATGAAATTATAATTATGCCTCATTTGGCTATGATAGTATGTTCAATGTTGCATATTAAGTAATATACTCGTAATATTACTTTGTGAAATAAAATATTTATTAAAATAAGTACTAATGATTATAATATAGTCATAATAATATTAAGTATAAATCGATGGTGCTCGGGAAAAACTTGCTAAGTCTAAAATTTGGAATTTGGAATATTCAAAAATAAAAAGTCAATTACAAAAAAGAAATAAGATAACCTTTATTTTCATTCATAACATTGACTAATGTTTTCTATAACCTTTAACAAACAACAAATTATATTAAAACAGAATAAAAAATTATAATTAATACAACAAAATAATTTATTTGACTTAATTAGGCAGACTTAGCCTATATTGCACAAAATATTTTTTGACTTAGATAGTTATTACCTATTATTATAGAAAAAAATGTATAAATATACATTACATAGTTTTTTAGTAAATTATAAACAAAAACAAAATAAACTTAATAATAAAACTTTTAATTCTTATACATAAATGGTTAAAATTCTTTCAGTCCATTGCTTTAAGAGTTTTCTTCCTCTGTATCAGTCTCATTGTTTGGGTATGTTTCTTTTAGTGTAGCATCAGTTGGTAAATTTTTGTAAAAGTCATGAAAAACATTTGGTATCATTGGAAGTAAGTCCAAAAGATCTTTTTTCTTCTTCTCTGCAATCGGAACAGGTCTATTATAACACAATGGTGGTGTAAGTTGATAATGGCTTCTTCCTTTTGAGCAGAGTGATAGTGATTTGAATGGTGCATCTATATCTAATGTTTCCTTATAGTATAAAATTCCTAGTTCAGTTTTTTTAAATCTTAACCATTTTACATTTTTCCATACAAATTTTTCACCATTACTATTTTTTTTTTTCATCTGTAGTTGATTTTTAAGCAATTCTGAGTAGTTAAGAAAATCACTATGCATCATGGGGGTTACAATGAATGGATTTTTTTTTCCTGTCTGTCTGACTAGTTGCATCCAATCGTGTGGATGGTATATTATGGTCTTACTTGTTTTTTTTTTTTTTTCAATTAGTGCATGGTCAGAATCACATTCCATATGAGTGTGACCTGCTAATAGAAACTTATGATCTATAACTTCTAGTATATTATGATATCTTATAACTGACATAAACATAGCAACCATGTGGGAATTTTTATTTTGCCCCCCCACAGGTATCTGAGTAAAGTGTTACATGTTTGGTAGGCAATCCAATTGAGTACAGATGTTTAGCAACACAAGAAGCTATCCTGATGTATTTTCTTCATCTAAACATGTATTTTAATACATAAATAAACTACAACATTTAGGAAAAAGACAGTGATCTTGCATTATCACATTTGCTTACCTGAGTTGTTTTTGTTGTTATCTGAATAACACATTGCAATAAGTTTGGCTGTTCTGGATTTAAACATTATAACTATATTGTATACGATATTTTACCAAAATAATAAATACAATCATGTACGAGTTCAGTAATAATAGTTTTATCGTTATAACGTAAGAAATTAGTATAATGTTTGTATGTTCGTCTACTGCCTACCAATAACACTAATAAGATAATTGAAATATTTGTAAAAATATTATGTACAATCATAATATTTTTATGATTGATAAATATGGCTATGATAAGATTATATTAATATTTTAATACATATATTATTGATTATTGATAGTCACAGATAGAGATCCTAGATAATAAAGGCTCTCTAGTCAGAGATGTTACAAAAATGGGGAATAGTTGTTTTATTAAATTATGAGTAATATTCACTATGTCTACAAGGAATTATGTCTACACACCGCCAAGTCACTTAGCCACTTTATCACATATCATTATTTTGGTGTAAAGTTGTCTAAGTTGACATAGGCCAAATTTCGCAATGATAATAGTATGTACAAAATCGTCTAAGTCATATAACTGGTTTTTCTCAAACACAAAATTAATTTTGTGAAATGTTCTATTTTTCATAAGTGTATAACAACTGGTAAAATCGGTGTATGACTTAGACCGTTTTACCCAAAACACCGTCTGATTCTTCTGTATCTAGATATGACATAACCTAATTTTCGCAAATTTTAGACTTAGCCAGTTTTTCCCGAGCACCATCGAAATAATACACGAGTATCATTACAAATACTAAAATGTTTATATTTTGAAAATACTTTTGCTAATAATATATACTTATTCATATATGGGTAGTAAATAATAAACTTAAGCTTTCAATGTATTATATCCATATATATATATATGGACATATGGTTAAATTTTTACTTTGTGTAGGGAATGGTAACAATGACTAAGATGATGAAACCAGCTGCCCTGGGTTTGGTAAATAAAGCAATTCCTTACTTGTATCCAGATCAAACCAATGCATTTATGATGGGAACCGCTAATGACATCATGTGGAATGGATTGGATATAAATTGCACGTCCGAGGAGTTTGCATCCGTTGCTATTTGTTCACAGATAAGACAAAATTCAGAGAGCTTACACAAAATCAGCAAGGATCATTTCAAATTTTCATTATTCGGAGTGGTATGGTATAATTTTTTAACATTAAAGTATAAGCTGTATAAAATAATATAATAGATCAAACCTACTGTGCCCCTGCCACGAGTACCTATGTGGTGAAAGTTTTAAGTATTTTACTCCAGTTTTCTGCACAGCTCTTGGTTTTATCTCTATTTCTCATTTATCGGTTCGATCAGTTCGAATTCGGTCTGAATATTTTTAACCAGACGGAATTATTCAGATATTCCCGTTAAAGCACAATATATTATAATCAAAAAAACAAGAGTGTAAATACCTACAGTTGCACACAAATTATGCATCTGTAACGCTATTAAAATTTAAGAATATGCAAAAAACAAAAATGATATTATATACTCGTAACCATTTCGAAGCTTCGTTTTTAAATGAACTGTTGTCTAAATACTACAGAAAAAGAACCGTTGTTAATGGTATATATTGGTATAGGTAACAATAATGGTTTTGTACGAGTAATAATATTATAGCTGTATACATTAATTCTTCGTCGAACGATATTGTATATTATTTATTACACTGAAAATCGTAATATCGTAATATTTTACTTATCCATCATTGTATTAATCTAAATCTGAAAACAAATTCCTAGTGTTTCTAAAGTACACGTCTTGTACACCGAAACCCATCAGCAGCGTAGATCGGTGAGCTGTTCTCTTTTGACAAATTTACTGCAAAGCTGAGCAGAGTGTTTAAAAAATAATAACACGTATTGCACTTAAGAATAATAATATCAATGCCCAAATCGTTTTATCATAGTTTCGTCGGAATTTTGCAGCGCGTATACTATACCTGCAGAAATCTACGTAGCATATCTTTCGTTTTGAGCAGCTGTTCGCCATCACTTACGAGGCTTACAGTGATTATAATATTTTTCGCTTGTGTTTGGTCCAGAAAAATGGAACCGTCGAGAAGAATCGTTACACAGTGAAACGCGGCTACACTTCGCCAGCGACGGAAGTAGGTCAGGTGATCCGATTCAACGACAAACACAAAATGGATGTGTGGCCCGGCGACGAGTGCAACAAGATATACGGGACGGACACCACGATATTTCAACCGTTCATCACGAAGGACACCAACCTGGCCAGCTTCAGCGGTGATGTTTGCCGGTACAGTATACTTACGCTATATATATCACACATATAAATACTGTAAGTCATGCATACCTACGCCTTGGATAAACACTTTATTTTTATATTAACATATACGTATAGGTAAGTACTCGGGAAATATTACACTCGAATCAAACGTTTAAAAAAATATTAACCCCACATACATTATAGTATATAAAGTTACGGAGGAACTGATTTATATTTATATTTTTTCTTCTAAATTTCAATATTTTTCAAACCATATTATTTTATTTTTAACCCCTGATTTTTCTAGTAGGCATACAGTATTTATTTCAAATTATAAACTTTTCCTGGTTTCATATTTTGTTATTGCAGTCTTATAAATACTTGGTATTTGGTAGTGCAGTATAAGTACTCGTTTAACGACGAGGTTAAGCTCCTAAAATACACTAATAAGTGAGACAAATTTCACACTCACTTAATCGGAATCTATTTTTATTTCTCACCAATATAAACAACACAGTAAAACAAGTGATAATAATAAGTAGTACAGGACAACTGTATAATATGTAGTGCAGGACTAGAAAATATCATTAAATAACATATTATTTATCAAATGAAGAACTAATACAAAATATTAATTTGTACTTATAATATGATCGCGACCACCCAGAAACACATTGCCTGTCCGAAACTTCTGTGAAGTTTTGGCCCAGGCTTTGTCCTATTCATCGCGAACCAATGTCAATACTTACGAGTTTCAATATGTTCAACTCCATACTTTCGTCGTAATTAAAATCAATCAATCCGAATAATGCCGGGTGATGGTCTCGAAGGATCTAAAACGCCTGGATGGTGCGTGGTGGCACTGCATAAACCTATTTATTAAAGACAGGCACAGTGAATTAAAGATAGATCAGGTGTGCAACGACCGGCAAATATATACCACCCCGAGACCCAGCTAAGTCTAAGTGTCTAACCACGACCCGGAGGATAACCCTCGCCCTCGTGACCCCAAGAAACACATATAGCCGTCCGAACGACGACTCTCTTCCACTAGGTAAGCCGCGTACGTATGATATGCATGTCAATAAAATCGATAACAGCATTATCTCAATAAGACGTTTGGATTCTATAAGTGCGTAATGAGTATGCACTACACGGTAGGTCGACTAAAAATAAATTATATCTAATAGGATATTAAACACAATGAATTAAAATTATACGACGTAATATAGTGTTAACACGTCAAAAGCGGCATAATTAAACTAGGAACTATTGTAATTATTGGTATTCGATTAAAATTTAAAATTTTATCATAAGACTTAAGAACAAAAATAAAATTGAACCACTGTAAGACATAATAAATAATATAATAACATATTGACTTCACTGCACAATACTGAAAGTATTTAATATGATATTTAATTACAAATATTGATCATGAGTTACAACTTATATTTAGCATAATTTTTATTTAAAATACACAGTTTATACAAAATGCTCAAAAATATAATGAATTAATAATATTATTGTGTAAGCAGACACGAAGGAGTTGTTCAATTACACCCACTGTTTACGTGTCAATTATAATTATTATACCTACATTTTCGAATGATTTTCTCTTATAATGTTAATATAATAAGTTTAGCCTTTCTTTTTAGTCTTCGCATTTATTTTCTGCTTTGGATTTGAAAACAAAATATAGGGATATTCCTTAATTTAAAATATGTATTTAATTTAATTTCTATTAAAATAAATGTCTATTGTTGATTTTTTTAATATTTTGTGTAAAATTATTAGAATATAACAATATATTTTTTTTTTTTTTTAATATGTGTAAAATACATTCACTATAATTTATACAATTATTTTAACCGTTCTTTAGATCATTGACTCCAGATTATGTACAAGAAACAAAATATAATGGATTAAATGTATTTGAATATTCAGCCATGTTAGTAAAACCGGAAGAAAAATGTTACTGTTTGAATCAAAAAAAATGTTTGAAACCTGGAGCATTAGATTTGACAAACTGTTCAGGTCAGCATTTTTTATATTATAATATAATATATACATATTACAATTTTAAACAAATTTATGATTAAAGTTTTAAAATGTCTGAATATAGATTTTAATGATCTTATAAGATACTAAACAGATCTTTAAAAATCATATTAAAAACATATAAGCTGGAATACAATTAATTATTGTGTTGTACAGGTGCTCCTATAATTGCAACTCTTCCTCATTTTTATAAATCCGAAGATTATTTGAACAATGTGGATGGACTGAGCCCCGATGTTGAAAAACATAGGATTCAAATGTATTTTGAACCAGTAAGTATAGATATTCGTACTATATCCACATTCCACATAACACCAAATTGCAATTATAAATATTAACACTACCTAATGGTATTGAATACCTACTATCGATATTACCGATTAAAATATAATATTATTCTTATGATATTTTTTTCAGATGACTGGTACTCCATTATTGGGTTACAAGCGTTTGCAGTTCAATATTTTTTTGAAGAGAGAAACAAAAATAAACGTTATGAAAAAGCTTAACGAAGATGAGAAACTAATACCATTGTTTTGGGTTGAAGAGGTAAATTAATTTGCTTATCAGAAATGTTAATATAAATACTTGAACTTATTATAGAGTTGTACAACTTCCACCTAGTGAATATAACCTAGGTTTACAACTTATCACTATGATGAATATAATTAATGACTTTCCTCTCACAATATGTTGTAAACGTAATTTTGAATTTATTAAAACATAGTTTTGTTCATACAATTACAGGGAGTTGCTTTGAACAAGACGTGGACTAATCAAATAAAAAATAAATTATTCTTGCCAATTACTATCATGAAATACGTTAAATACATATTTGTAGTTTTTGGTATTGTGTTCATCATATTGGCAGTGGTCGTCAACTACAATAGTGTTAAAACAATGGAAATCACGCCAAAATATTAGAATTCGATGATCGCAAAAAAAAAAAAAAAATTAAAAAATACTTTATATTAAGTTAGACCTCACAGACGTAAACATGATTTTGTTGTTGTATAATAATATGAATAGATGCCGGTGTTCACTTTGTAAATATATTTTTAGTCTCGTAATTTTAGAGTAATAAATTAATAATGTTCTAATAACTATCTACTATACATTTGATTTTTAATATTTATTTTAAAATGTGCTCTTAAAGAGGTTTGGAGTTTAGCATACATACTAATTACATAGCTTGTTCATACTATAATTTATAAGTAGGTACATATATATAAATACAGTATTGAGTATAAATATTACCTACTATTATTATATTATTTTCTGGGTAAACATAATTGTAATACACAAAAAATAATGAAATCAATAAATTATTTAGTAAATTAAAAATTGTTTTAGTTTCAAAAAGGTTTTTAGTAGAACAGTATAATATATTCTATTGAATATTATTAAATTTGTATCATTAATATAGGAGTAATAATATAGTTGTAATAATGTAATATAATTTTCTAGGGTTTAAACCAAACATAAACTTACCATCGAATAATAGCTTATATAATCGTTAGTATATATGTATTAATATATATATACGAAGAATCATTTTATGAAATAATACAATATACATCAACTTCTATAAATAATTATATTATTATGTATGGGTAAGTATAAAAATATTCAAACAGTAGATATCAAAATATTTTACTTTTTCTTAACTCAAAATATTTCAACTACATTTTAGATTCTGAGCGAAGTGATAAATGTATTGATTTTGCAATTATGAGTGGTTTTTTTTTTATTTATTTTTATATGAATCTGTGTACACTAGAAGTAGTCAAATAATTTGATTTTCATCTTTTCGACTAAATTGGCACGTTGAACAAATTCTATTCGTCATCACTGTCCTAGACTGACAAACCGTCTCCGTTCAGAATAGTTTTTTTTATACATTGCGATTATATCATTGGTACTGTGCAGCAGAGCAACATAAACTTACCCACTTTTTTTTATATATAAAATCACTATACAGATGCATCACATTAACTTCTGAATTGGTTTCGATATTTTTTTGTTCCTACATATAATTATTAAAAAACTTTATTAAGAGTTGCACCGTGATATTATTAAAAATCTTGTAGCCCAGATTTACTCGTATCGATTGAATATTCTTATTATTGTGATAAACACAATCAAGTGTCTTTTGGTCAAACCATTGTAAAAAAAAGGTACATAAGTATGAATGAATCGGTAGAAACTTTTATATTATTTTTTAACAATAAAGGTGTACACTGTGCAACTCTTGTATCTTCTATAGATACTTCAATACACCCCACTAGTAAAATATTATTGTCGAAAATCCCAACCAAACATTGAAGGGATAATAATTACCCCATGATATTGATTATCATGCATTCGCATGCCTCGTTATGTCAACACAAGGCTACAGGTAGTATGGTTGCCCATCGACCCATGATTCCCATACTTGAAATTTATCTACCAAAATAGATCTCTATAATCAGTATTAAAGTTAAATTAAACAGCTGGAGGTCTTAGCACAAGCGCTTATATCGCATAGTAACTATCACGCAACTACAATTTAAATTTGAAAGGTAACTGCATTTATAGTCACTACAACAAATAAGCGCTTGTGCGAAAATCTCCAGCTGTTGAATACTGATTATGTAGATTCATTTAGGTAGACACTTTTCTAGATTCGCCGTGCAACCATACTATCTTTAATCGTGTGTCAGCATAATATTATATTACTGATAACTGATACGTGATTATAATGAGAAAATATTTATTCTTAGACTAAAAATTATAATAGGTACTATAAAAAAAAAATGTAGTATTTAGTAGCTCTAAAATTAAACGAATTTCCAGTATTTGATCCTTTTTTTATTATATAGGTAATAAATAATAAAATATCCCACAGTATGTATCTAACTAGTAGTACCTATATCTATATAGAGTTATAGTGTCCCACAACTCAAGATGATTTACTTATTGCGATATCTCCTGAGATAATAAATATATCATAAATATGTTTTTTATAAGACTCACAGAGACAAGGACTACACAAATTCTATTATTTTAAATTTATCATATTTTTTACTAAAAAAGTTGTTTTTAATTTTGAAACAATTTTATAAAGTTTATTTTTGTGAACATTTTGATTTTTCAACATTTTATTTTCATTAATTCTATGATTTTTAATAATTTTTTTAGTTAATAGGTAAAACGGTAAAAAAAAACCAGTTTTGGCCAGGTGGTGAGTCCCCCTCTACGGATAATGTAGTAATGTGTATATCCTCAAGGGACACTCTGTTTATAACTATATTTTATCATTACAAAAAAAATCATCTGAATAATAAAAAATAAATACGATTATTTTGTAAGTAGAAGAAAAATACATGGTGTACATTTGAAGTAGGGATAGGGGCGTATACAAAGCCTATATCTATATATATAAAAATAAATGTTTGTCTATATGTCATTGAACTCGACTGGACATTTTTTGTGTGTTTTTGAGTAAGTCCCTGAATGGTTTGGATTCACAATAAAATTATACCCAGTTGGTTCAACCCGGAGTGATGCTCAATTAGGTATTTTGAGATTTACGATAGACATTTTTGTTTATATAAATGGCTGATATTTACTATAGAAGAAATAATTAGTAATAATTAGTATTTTAAATGTTTACCAATTAGATACTCTGGCAGGTAAAAGGATCCATCAAATCGTCACACACTTATGGTTTCGAATAAAGAAATTATATTTAAAACAAATATGAGAGTTGAATGTATATTTGTAGCTATTATATAGGTTTTCAAAAACTACTTGACCGATTTTGTAAAAATTTAAAATTTTTCTTGGAGATATCAGGAAAGTTTAAAGAGTATTTTGAACCACGTTCGATTTATACCAAGTGTTATACCCAATCCATCACAAATAAATTGTCCATCTTGGTCGATTTAGATCTCAAAGCTACCCAAATCATTTTGTAGAACAATCATTTTCCAAACTAAAGCTAATAAAAAATTACTTAGGAAACGCATGTGGACGAGTGCGTTTATCTAGTATAGCAATTTCAAATATAGAAAATGAACGAACTAAATATTTAAATATTGAGAAACTAATTGACTATTTGGCCAAAGCAAAATCGAGAGAAGATATTTCTTATAATAGAATACCTTAGATAATTATGTTAAATAATTTATTTATTATTTAAGATTACTCTTAAATATTATATTACCTATATATTAAAATATGGTTATAAATGTATAACGCAATTTGATTTGTAGTAAAAATATAATTGTATATAATTCTGTAAATTGTTATCCAAGGGGGCCCCTACATTTTCTTTTGCACCAAGGCCCTCAGAGTTAAAAATCCGGCACTGTACAAAAGGTGTGATGTGGGGGTCAGTCCTCCTTATAGGCCTTTTTTTTTTTTAATGTTATAAAATAGTATTCTTAGTATTAACGCGTTACAATGAAACATAAAAAAAAGAAAATTGTGTACATTAATTGAATTCAGGGGCGTAATTTAAATTTTTTGAAAGGTATGCTAACAACTATAGGTAGGTAGGTGAAAAAAATTCAGCAGACCAATATAATATATATTACAATATCATAATTATTACAAAAAATATTTTTTCTCTCTACGCTCGACAGTTGGAATCTTTATATTTTCCAAGTAATAATCTAATATAGTTATTATGAATAATGAATATAGTATACCTAATAATACTATGTTGGTACTTAAATTATTTAAGCTTAAATTTAAATAGTTATAGACACGCTATTGTACCTATTTATATACCTATTACCAATATTTTATTATTTATTCTTTTAATGTGCAAGTACCTAGGTTTAATATTGTTTTTTTCTAATCCTATAGAAAATGTATGTATATGTGCCACTGCGTAGGAATATTAGGCGGGAATTTTGTAGTGAAGGCTTATTTTGTTTATCTGTAAATGACGCAATGATGTATGATTTTAAATTTATATTTAAGTTTGAAATGTTTTACAATTAATATTTATCAATAATAATATGACAAAAAAAAATGATTTATATTACTAAGAAAACAAATATATAACACTCATTTTGAAGGAAAAATTAAGAACATGAAGTCCAAATGAAGAAATTATCGCAAAAGAAATATAGAATTTTATTGGAATTTAATAAGCAAACCAATTGTGAAATGTATACAGTGTTCAAAAAGATTGGTAACAGTTATTAGACTTATTAAAACTGATAAACGATAGTCAATAATATGATATAGGTAATTAATAACGTGATTACATTTTTTACCTAATAAATGTACAGCAGTGTTATCTGTTATTGATAAATGTAATTATGTAAATGTATAAACACAAATTATTTGAGCACCTATATAATGTATTATGTAATGTTTGTGGAGATTTTTATAAGTGATATAACATGGTAGGTAACGAAGTTAAAACTTAAATAGTTAAATGTCAAACATACAAGTTTTGGTGTTGGAGTGCTTTACCGTACTTCAAAAGTAAATTCTGTAGGTACAAACAGGTAGGATTATTGATTAATTGTAGGTAAATTCTGAAATTATTTTAACGGGGAAGTTTCAATTTTGAAAGTCTTCGTAATAGGCGAAATCTGATGTTTGCTGTTCTTCACTTAACTTTAATTTGTAAGCCCTAGATCAGTTGTTTATTGAATTTAAATTATTAATAATTTTATGACTTAATGTAATATTTAATTCACATTAAGTAGGTAGGTACTATTTTGAAAATTACCAATTTTTTTTCATTTCAATGAGATTTTAACATATAAATTAGGTATTAGATATATAATTATTAATTTAGATTTAAATTTAAATTACAAAGACAATATTTAATTATCTATACAAACTATAAAATAACATAAAATATAATATAGGTCATTACTCAATCGTTCTATAACTTAGCTTAGGTATATTAATATAAT